AGAGGGGGGTAGTATAACGATGTTATAGCCTTGCTAAGTATCGGACCCGTCCTAGAGCTGCGTCGGAGTAAATATCCGCCGCCCCCTTTAGTAGTTATTGTTCTTAAGTCGGATCTGACTTAGATCTAACTAAGATAGGTATATATTAAGACACTCCCTATAGGTAGCTCTATAGACTTTTAATATCCTTTTGTATAAGGCCTATAGGTGTCTATTTGAATTAAGGCTCGTTTGATGTCCTACGCACTCCCATATGCCTCTGAGTGACACTACCGCCGATACTGATCCGAGTAGTCTTGCCTGCGCCGTTACAATGGTAGGGGGTACCCGTTTGCCAGCCTAACCTTGCCCCGCGATACCCATCGTTCCCGGTTAGTATCCTAAGTGGTTTCTCAACTATTATACTATTATTACTAGGGAGAGGATCCTTTCCGCTGTTGCTTGTAACAGAATAGTGATATAAGAAGTAAGATATAATTAAGACAGGCTAGAGAGAGCTAAAGTAACCTAAGGTGCCCTAAGGTAGCTCGTAAGAGGTTAGAGAAGGCTAGGTGTTAAGAGTATGGATCAAGTGGAAGTAATATAAGACTTCTAGTGTTAATCTTCTTATTAGTTAGTTTTTACAGATAGAGTAATAGAGTGTAAACGAGAACAGTAGCGTGTAAGTAGAACAACTCTCTTTATTATACTTATACTCAAAACTTAAGTTAAATATATTAAGCTATAAGGGCTTGATACCTAGACTATATGCTAAGAAGATAAAGTAATTATATATGATTATATAATTAGTTACGTAACTACGGCGTAGATAAAGGATTACGGCGCAGTCCGTCTCTTTAGACCCTCCAAGCTGATTACTTGTAAGCAGCTTGCCTTGGATCGTAACACTAGGCTCTAACAGTAATCCCACGTAAGAATATAGGATAGACTACTATGCTTTAAGATGTAGTCTAAGTAAGCTTGAACCATAATCTTAATTCAGATAAGCACAGTCCTTAAGTAAAAGTATAAACATCAGCTGATTATTTGAAGAAGCAGACGTATTGTCATACTACGGAAATAATGCTTGTTTCTGCAGAGAGTCTGTCCTATAGAACATTGATCAAAGCAGGTCGTGCACTTACTTCCCCTAATACAACTTGCGAGTCATAGTTTGTCTTGTAATTAGACATCGCTGCAGCCATTTTCATATCCTTCGCTGTTGTTTCTGAACATTTCGTGGTGACTAAGAAGGAGGAGACGGGATATTGGAGCGCAGATTCACCGAGACATGAACTTAAATTTACATCCATATCTGTGACATGTCATCAATACGACGTCACCGACAATTACATGTTGGCGACATGGATACAATGGTTTAAACTGGCAGCGGAACCTTGTGAGAATGTTGCCACGAATTCGACACGGGCCCGGGCTCGCCATTACCGTTTATCGGATAACAAGCCCTATTTAATCTGATGGCCGGGACAGCTGGATGCTCATTACAGCTTCGCTATTCGAACCAAGTTACTCATTTCTCGCAGACACTAGTTATTATGTTATCCCCAAAACAATTGTTGTTTACTGTTTTTCTGGTCGCAAAGACCTCCTATCAACAAATCATCAACACCGATTTTGCGAGTGCAATCGACGTCAATGTATGCCAGGAGATGGATTCTCACTCTGTTTTCAACCGTATATCATGGGCAACCAGAACTTGCCAGTGCACGACGCCATATAGCTTCAGGGCTAGTTGTGTTAGGACATACCCAAACCGAAACGAAAACTACATCGGAAACTACGATCGAAAATGCGACCCCAGGGATGAAACTGCCGTTTTTTGTATACCTACAGAAAACAGTGACATGGTGTTTCAAGACTGCACATGCAAGAGGGTGCCAGTGAAAGTAGGGCAGAAACCACCTGGAAAACCAAACGGAATTGGCTGCTCTGGCGGACTTAATTTGGGACAAACACACACAATATCAGTGTATTCCACGATCGTCTTTGCTAAAGGGACGACATCGCGCCAAGTTGACGGTTGCTACGTCCAGAACAGCTCTACAGGGACAGAGCTTTCTGCCAACTATCCATGCCCTCTGAGCAATAATGGACACGTACTCGAATTCGAAAAAGGAGCGACCTACCAGGCGTGTGTCGAAGGCGACAACGATTCTCCAGATACACTTTCATTCCAATGGATTGTCACGAGCTCAATTGGGCACTCGAAGCGGGACGAATTCATGCAGGCCATCTCGTACGATAAAAGCATTGTCCGTGGTAATTTTAAGGGAAGTGTTATAGTCGTTGATAAGGATGGGGCAGAACTCCAGCGATTTGATTTATAAGGGCCTTAGCAACAACTGTAGGTAGATGGAATATGAAAGGTATTCTAAATACAGTAGTCTAGATCATCTACGATGTGATATATATATATATTGTTATATAAAGTATCTAGTTAACATAATAGCGTACATACCTTAGTTTGTCTTCTTTAGTGAGAATCCCTCCCAAGTGAACTTCGCTACAAGCACGAGCGCCGCGCATGCAAATAATAGGCAACTTCCAAAGATCCACAGATCATCGTAGCCGTTGTGCTTCTGAATTGTGCCGCCAATAGGTGTACCAATCAGTATACCAATTGCACAGAAAAAGAAAGCCTGGCCCAGGCGTGTACCGATCTTGTGTTTAGCATTGCCGCTTATGTAGATGATAACCGTCGAAGGCAATGAGACAAAGGTTCCGGAAAAGAAACCGTAGAACGCCATGAGGACGATAATGCCGGCTGGGGCTGTGACAGTCAAGAATAGTATGCAGAGAATCCCGGACATGAGTATGCATGGTATCATGACGTTGAACGGGCCAATCTTATCCGAAAGGAGATTTGGCAGAACACCTAAAAACATGATGTCAGCAAAATGATGCAAAGTGTTGAAGAGAGCATACTTACGGCCAAAGAGCGACGTGCTGTTCAGAATGGCGATGAGATAAAACCCCAGATTCTCATTCGTGATCTTTTCCGTTATTGCAAATATTTGAGCAAAGACTAGGGGTACATTGAGTCCCGAAAACCCCAATAAGAAGCCCAAGGTTATAAGGGAGTATGCGGGGATCAAAAACGCCTTGAAATCGAATAGAGTCCGTGTTTGAGGGGGAAGCACACGGACGCGCATGATAAGGTTGGGGACAACCAGCGTTCCTAGCATCATGAAGCCAAGCACGCGGGTAGCCCATCCAAATCCGATCTGTGGGAGGAGCTTATGCAAGACGATTGGGTAGATTACGCCTCCCAGTGACGACCCTGAAGCCGCAATGCCGATGGCAGCCCCGATCCTGGTTGAGAAATAGGTGGAAAGGATAGCGACACTCGGAACGTAAATCAGACCTGCGCCGATACCAACACAGAAGGATTGAGCTAGTAGGACTTGCCAGTACTCATGGCAAAGCGACAGCATCATGTGGCCGAAGACAATCATGAAGGATCCGACGAGCAAGAGTGCGCGGAGGTATCCGGCATCGTAGATGGGGCCGGCTAGGGTGCCTGTTACCAGCATAAGGTAGGCCTGCACAGATCCAATCCAGGCGATGGTGGATGAAGTAGAACTCCGGAGTAGAGTCGTTTCGTAATATGCCTGGTATGATCCAAATGTGTTGGTGACACCCCTGATCTGGAATTAGCAACCCGTTTTTATGGTCCAAGTGCAAGGGTTCTCATACCATGAATTGAATGTGAGGAAGAAGGCTCCAAAGACCTGCAACCAAGCCAAAGTACCGCCGTTGGGTGGCGGAGAGACGGCATTCGTGGCAGGCTGCTCTGGCTGGGCAGCCTCCAGTGCCGCTCCATTCTGATCGGGTGTGGTTACACCGCTGCCAGGCGATTGCTCTTTCGCTGAAGGATCAAGGACATCCTGCGCTGTGTTTGAAGAAGAGGATGAAGAGGCGGGGGGCAGGTTTGGTTTCTCATCAGAAGGGATTACAGGATGTGTTGATGCCATGTTTGATGTGTCGTAGAGACTATCACACTTTAGTTGAGTGTTCAAGGTTCGAGATGTTGCAAGAAAAAAAATAAGGATCTTACTTCTTTACACGAATCAGCACCTAGAAGAGAAGCAAAGACTGGGTAGTGTGCTATGAGTGGGAAGATTACGGCAGGGGAGCTCAATGTATAGCTAGGAAAAATTAAAGTACTGGAGATGAGATATCTAGATCTGGGATGAGATCTGCTGTAGAGTATACAGATCGGTAGAGAAATTCAGACCGAAGGCAAGTACATACCACCATCAAATGTAAAGACAGTTATCCACTTCTATTCATGGACATTGCGTGCGCTCTTCCGGTCTTCGGGAAAATCGTGCCCCCATCGGATCCGGCTTCTTTGTCATTGTAACTATAGCTCCGCATATTAGAGTTCTCGAACCCAGTTACTCTGAACAGAGATCAATCATGTCGGAGCCGAGCGATATCTCCGATTGTAGCATGGCGATTATTGGTGGGGTTTGGAAGAAACTCGCCATGTTCGCCATCACCACCCAGTCCCCCGAGATCCGATGGCCGATGGCCGATGGCCGAAGTGCAGAATTTATCTCCGAGATACAGGGTCTACGCTTATGACGATTACTTATCACACATAGGGAAATATATTAGACTGGCTGCAGACATGGGCCAACGATCTGGTAATACTGAGCGCTTTATTTTACAACAGATCCCCTCTATTCCGCACACTGGTTCTCTGCCCTAAAACTAAATGCAAAATGAGGAAATAAAAGGGGGAGGGGAGAGTACATAAAATTTGGAACAAGGCCAGACAACCTAGGAAGACATCTCAGTCACCACTATGATCAGACAGGCAAAACGGAAGATATTGAGGCTTGGGGCTGCTAACTCCTCAAACCACTCACTCTGAACAGTTTGGCCACTGATATCGATTCTTCCAAACAGAATGCAACAAACAAATCGACTGAGTTCCTCAGTGTGGAAGCTCAGTTAAATTTGAACAAAGAGAAATCCCAATCATGTATCCTAAGCCAAACTCCATCTAGTAATCTAACCCCCCCACTTAACCCCTCCGGCGCCTCAGAAGCAACGAATTGCTCGGATTCGGCATAATCTGCCTGTCCACCTGAATCGGCTCATACCTCTCTGTCCTTCCATCCGGCATCACGACATCGTAATCGAGAATCATCCTCACAAGCACCGTCTTGATCTCATTAGCTGCAAAGAAGCGCCCCGGGCACGCATGCTTGCCATAGCCAAACAGCATATCGCGTTCATTGGCCGAGACCAACTGCGAGCGTGCTAGCTCGGCCGTACTCGCGTTTTCGCGCATTTTGTAGAAGCGAAAGCCGTCGAAGTCGTCGGGGTTGGTGAAAATGGTTGCGTCGAAGCTTACGGCGTCGGAGGGGACTTCGACGATTACGCCGGCGGGGATGTGTTGGCCGTTGGAGAGGGTGAAGGGTTTGTGGACGTAGCGGGCGAAGGAAGCTGGTGGAGGTTTGTTAGTTTTTTTTTGCCTATTATAATATTTATTCTGGGGGGGAAGCGGAAAAGGGAAAACTTGCTGATGCTAAATGGGTACCAGCGGCCGACCTCCTTGATAAAGGAGTCCAGCTTGACTAGTTGCTGAAGAGCGCGCGGCGTGAGGCTCCCGCCATTGTCGTCCAGGACAGTCTGGATCTCCTCGCGAAGTGGCTCGATGTACTCGGGCATCGCGGCGAGACAGAATAAGCTGTTGGTGGCGGTCATGGCGGTGGTGTGGATGGCTGCGACAGTAAGTGTAAGCTGCTGTCGGATCAGTGACGAGATGTCCATGGAGATATTGCTTGATTTGGCACGATCCATCAACCACTGCAACATATCGTCGGAATTCTTCTGGTCTGATTCTTGTCTCTGGCGGATGATGGGCTCGAAGAACTTGGTAGCCCGTTTGTGTCTGTTCTGGAGCTGTTGGATCTCGGAGAGGCGAGAGGCTTTGAACGGGCGAAGCCACTTGTTGCAATTCTTGACTGCGAAAGCTGCAGTGGTTGTTTCATTCGTGAAGTTGACTGCAATGTTGAGATATTCGGGGTCGCGACAATACTCTGGTCCAACGAATAGGCGGCCAGATACCTGAGCTATAATGTTTGTTAGATTTTCGTATATCGCTAGTTTAGTCCAGTCCTCGCAGGGAGGCATGAAGCGTTCCATAGCGTTGTCGATCTCGGCAGAAATATGCTCGTTGAGGCGTTCTGTCTCTTAGATTAGCGGCAAGCCGAATGCAGTAGTGCACTCCCATACTTAATGAAGGTGTAAGATCAGCCTTTATAGTGTGCATCAAAGTCGGAAAGTTGGTTTCGTGTTTGGTGTATTGACCTTCAAGCATCTGTGTAATCTTAGCATCTAATCTAGCCATTGTAAGATGACAGCTTCGAACCTTTTTGACAGCTGCAGGAAGATCCACAACATCGTCGGAGAGTTTGTTGAGCTCGGGCAAAAACTTGGGTGGTATGACCACATATTGTATGTCATCATCTGCTGCCATTCGGTAAACAGATTTTGTGAACTACCCAAATTTTGAGTTCTCATCTCTGTAGAGGATATGGATATATTCACCTGTTTGTATCCTTTGCGATACAGTTCTGTGCAATACTTCAGGAAAAATGCTCGTTGCTTGTCATTGTTTGTGGAAAGGCCGAACACTGGCAATTTTGATAACTTGAATTGCAGGCTGAGCCTTGGGAGCAACACAAGGAATGCAACGACCACAGCAGATAGTGTGATGACTTGCGCTAGAAGCGCAGAGTTTGACAAGATTTGACTATCCATCATGAGAGAGATGAAGTTGTACTCAACTAGAAAAATCCTAGTATTGTCATTGCCGTACTTATAGTACATATTTCCAAGTTAAATATCGCTATTGTGTCTGCCGGAATTCGGACATGTCGGCCTCCACGGAACGGATGGGCTTGCGGTCCGATTAGTTGTCGTCATGCAAGGTTGTTCGGTGTACCAGGATACCCGTTAGGCTAGACATGTTCGTCTACTACAAATGTGATAAACCCTGTCACTACAGGAATTCTTAGACATCCATAAGAAATTAGAGATAAGGATCTAAGACTTCCACGTTCCAATCGGCTTGCACCGCGCAAGCTCTTGATCGGCCGGTGAAATCGGAAGCCCAAGGCCAAGCAATCGTTGTCTACTCGAACGAGCCACTTTCACTATATAAAATACTACCACTACTAGCATACTCGACTTGTTAAAGGCTAGGCCAAACGGATATACTAACTCTATTTTTACTAGCCGTAATAGTGGTGTAACAGTAGGAATGCGTAAACGCAGGCTTCCATGCCGTCGGGGCTGGGCAATCTTATCTCCGAATTTATCGGTTAACTAAGAGGTAGATGAATCCAAGTTCTAAACTCCGATCGACTAGCACCGGGGCGACCCGCCGTAATATACATTACCCGTGGTCTTATATTCGGACGTAGAAGGTTTTTCCAAGTTTTTACCAACAAGATAAGACTATCGTACTACTGTAGTAGAGTTGACCTCCTACCTATCTATCCTTATTCTTCATCGTGTCACTCTATCTTTTCTTTCATTTCCATCTATCCATATTACATCACGAGTACTTTCTAAGAATTCAATAGGGAGAAGATGGCAAGGATATAAGATAATCTTTCTATGTTCTGGAATACTTGTAGTATTACTACTCTATCTACACTAGAGAGGTAGATGCCGGGATATCATGCAATTATAGACAAGAAAATGCAACGCCGCGCTTGCTAAATGACCAAAGAGACTGTTTGTAAGACAAGGAAAACAAGAGGTGGATAAAGGAAAAAGAACAAAGGAAGGAATGCGTAGTTGGAACAGATTCAAGCCTTATGCTTTTGGTTCTGTGTTGACCGGAGCATATCCAGCGGGAGTGACGGCCAAGAAGCTTTGACGAGCGACTGGATCTGGGCTTAGCACATGAGGGGTAGTATCTGGCGTGCTGTGGATTGATTCCATGGCGATGCTATGTTGAGAGGCACTGTAGCCTGAGTTGTAAGCAGTGAGGGGCTTCAAGTCCTCTGGATGCATGCTCCATCGTGAGGCATTGTTCACTTCACTGATCCCCACGGCAGAAGCGTCGTGCGGTACATTGTTATACGCCCCGCCCGTCTCATGTACGGCCACGTGTGCATTGTGGTCGTGCTCGTGGCCGTGGCCATGTTCGTGTTCGTCGACTTCGAGTGCGTATGGCTTCCCGCTCTTTTTGAGCTGTTTGTTACACCACAAGCAGCTTAGTTTGTCGCAAACAAGGATGAGGAAGAGAAGTGTCACACAGACTGGCAGAAGAGCGGGCGATTCAATGGCGGCGTAGATCTTGGCGTCGTTGGCCATGAGCGCCAACATTGCCGCACCGACGCAAAATGCACTCATGCGCGAGATGACGGATGTGTAGTCGAAGAGGTCGGCCTTGTGGCGGCGGATGAGAAATAGGAAGATGACCAAGCACAGGACGAGGATGCAGAAGGAAGTCCAAAAGTACAGGTAGACGAGTTTCCAGGCATGGAGGCCTACCTCGAGCGGGCTGTGCTTTTCGAGTTTGTCCACGGGGAGCTTCATACCAAGGCCAGTGTACATGCCGTTGCTGATGGCGTAGGACAGATCCTTGAACGCAGTTGGCCAATTGCTATACCTGGTCTCGTCACCAAACGTGTAGTTGTTGGATGTATCAGGCGAGCAGATATTGGTTGTGTTTCCGATTTTCCAGATGGCATTCCGCGCCTCATGAAAGAAGCTTCTCGTCTCGAGTTTACCATCGAGTTCATAGTAGTCAAGCAAGTCCATGAGCTTGTCTGAAAGCTTTTCGCCGTCGAGATTCTCAAGTTGACAATACTGGGTAATTTTGCCCGAGGCCTTGTTGGTGTTGTTGATAATGTAGCGAGCGAGAGCAAGCTGCTGCGACCCCTCAACTACGCCAACGATTGCAATTTGAAGCGGGAAATGCAAAAGACTCCAAATCTGCTGCCTGATGGTTCCGTAGTGGCCATGTGGGAAGTTGTCAAAGTACCTGGTACAGGTGGTCAGTTTGGGAGTTTATGCATTGTGTTTCGGGATACTCACAGGGCCCAGACCAGGACCAGGACAACAATAATGCACATGATGAGAAAGCATCCCTCAACATTAAGGCCGTGCTTTCCCATGATTCTGGACACGGTCTTTGTAACGCCAATGGCGCCCTCACCAATGACGATGATGGTAAGCAAGCTCATTCGCTCCATGAGATGGGTCTTCTTGAAGCTGAGCATGCGCCAGAAACACGAGATGGCAATGACGAGGACGGCCTCCAAAATCATGACGACATACCAAACAAGGTAAATGTGCCGCCGATTTTGATTACCCTCGCGAAAAACAGGCGTCATGGCAATAAAGGCACCCATGCTGACTGCATAGATGGCAAACATGAGCATCAGAGGCAGGTAGATTTTGGAATACTTTGCTTTCCACGTGAAGAACAGGACGACGAGGTATTGGATTGCCAAAAGACCACGAGTTATGACGAGCGTGTAGCACATTATGCGGAAGTTCTGTTGTCAAAAGTCAATAAGAGTGCATTGGCATGTCAAAAGGGCGGCAGACTGACCGTGTTGTTGCGCGGGGCTGTCTGATTGGCAGGATTAAACTGGCTGCCAACCAAGGCCAAACCAACAAAGGCAATAAACTGGATCGTCTTGCATATACGTTCATACAGCGAGTCTCGCGCAAAGCGCACATCGTGCAGCGTAATCTGAAACCAACACGACCACAGAATTCCGAAGAAGCCAATGTATCCCAAGAGGTAGTCCAAGTCTGTGATTGAGTGGTAGGCGGTGAAAGTTGCCAAGTTTGCGACGAAGAACAAGTCGAAAAAGAGCTCGACGCTGTTGGCCTCGTGTCGCTGGGAGAAGACGAGGTTCTCATGGTCGGCACCGACAAGCGGGCTTTCGATAAAGGGTGTGGTCTTGTGTAGCCGCCTCAGGTGCTTTTCAGCGTCGACATCGCGTTTGTGGCCATGGAAACTCCAACCCATGTTGAGAGGCTACGCAGGAGAGGGAGGGAGAGTGGGGGAGAGAGGAGGGGGACAATGCCCGCGGTACGAATGGCTTGCTCGGTGCAAAAGGCGAGGAATGGAGGCGTAGAGGAGGTAAGAAAGAGCGGACTATGTATAGAAAAAAAGAGAAAGACAGTAATGGGAGAAACCGAAACTCTAATACCAGCGTCCGTCAGACTCGCCAGGGTGCCGTGCCACGATTCTTATGTGAATCTTGCCCGTTTCCACGATTACTCCACACGACAGCAATGACCCCTCATGCAGACAGGTAGCGCAAGTCCTATCTTGGGACATGGCACTAGAATCAGCACTACGGCCGTGGGCCATTTTTTTTTACCCTCCAGCTCAGCGGGAAAGGAGCTAGTGGCTGTGCATGGTGGTTAGCCGCATGGCCGTGCTGAGATGGAAGCCCCTACCCGCTCGTATGCAGAGATGCAAGCCACCTAAAAGCCGAGAGATTGGGCAAGGGAAGCCTACTCACCGTCACGGCCAAGGAGCAGGTGGTGGAGCCGGGGGAGCCGTGGGGGAGGACAGGAACAAGAGCCGCAGGCCAATGGGCGACGCATGTGGGTGAGGCTTGGCCCAGCTGGCTTGCTGCCGTGTTGAATGCCGTGGATTTTGATTGTGCGTGTCGTTTAGATGTTCATCAGAGTAAGAGAGTCAGCTCCGCCCCCCTCCGCTCCCCCGTCAAGAGGTCCGTCCGTACGCGGGCGACTAGCCAAGGCAGGTCGGGCGGAGCGCCGCCCGCTGCCCTTCTGCCCTTCTGCCCTGCCTGCGCCTGCGTCCACCACCACCGGACCAAAATCCAAGGCTTCATGCACCGCAGCTCCATGGCGCTGCGCTAGAGTGTGGTGGTGACTCTACTTATGTACTTGCCTACACCACCACTGTGTAGTACATACATGTGGTGTCTATGCTGTCCTTCAGCTATGCGCCCCAAGAATATGTGAGTATACGCTGGCATGCTGACCAGCCCACTCTTTCAGCTCTCTGCAAGGCCAATTTAGCACGTTCACTGCCCGATGCCACTCGCAATTACTTACTTTCCTACCCCCTGCACACGTGCCCGTACCTTTTTACTTACCATGTCCAAGTAGTAAAGTATTTGCTGACCAGCACTCTCGTCATCGCCCGGGTTTATCCAAATGTCCTTGGCTCTGATTTCTTGCGTCCCCCTTCCCTGATTACATACATGCAAAGTACTTTACATGATTACTTGTGGCTGCCTCATTGCTAAGCAGGCATCTGGCCCCTGAGTCGTGGGCGCGTATGACCCGGCATGGTGCAACAGCCTCGTGAAAGCTTCTTTCAGTCCTTGGACACTAGTGCCCGCCTACTATATCCAACCACGCATCCACTCTGCTCAAAGTGTTCATCTTTGCAATACTTACTACATGCACCTTTGTTCGGCAGCTTTCTCATTGCGATCTTCTTACAAACACCCGTTGCACCGAAATCATCACAGTCTTTGCTCCATCCCTCGGACCACCACGTGGCACCTGGCCGTTGCGCCGGCACGTGATTGCCATCTCCCTCGTCTTCGACACTCCCTTGGACGTCACAACATGCTCCTGCACGTGCCATATACACCTTCAATCTCACTCGCGATACTCGATCCGCTAGCCGAGCGAGGCCGCCGTCCCTTCTATTTCTTCTAAAATAGCCCGTACAACGCCGCCCGCCCCCAGGCTCTAGTTTAAGCACCGCTCAAGCAGTGCCAAATTGCTATGTTACATATGATTCCCATGACTCGTTCACTTTCGTAACAAGCCCGTGCCCTCGTCCGCCTCCTCACCACCACCTTCCTCTTCATCTTCGTCATTGTCCTCGTCAGACCATCCTTCGGCCTCCAGCCCTTCACCACGGATGCCAAAACTCAGCACGAAACCGACGAGCGCAATGCCAGCGAAGATGCCAAACGGCAAAACTTCTCCCTTGGGCCTCAGCTTGGTCGCAGCCGTAAACAGCGAGCCCGAAACAAATGGCCCTGCTGCCCGTCCGGCAGCAGAGAGCGTCTGCGCAAGGCCGTTGAGCGTCCCGAGAACGTTGTGGTTGGGCGCCGAGTTTGTGATCTGCGCTCCGTTAACGTGTGCTACAACGGGTTAGGATCGCATCAGAGTAACTCACCATGAGAAGCGCAGCCGTCAAGCCGCCGACACCTGCCACTGTCTTGATGACCAATACCACCCCAAGCTCAAACCACAACCATCCTGCGCCCGAGCCAATGCCTTTGTATGGGTTGCTGTCTTTGTAACCCACCCACGGCATCAGTCCAAACGCCGCAATGAACAGACCCAAGCTAACCCTGTATGCCATTTTGTTGCCGAGCTTGCCTCGTAATCGTCCAAATATCCCCACTTGAAATAATATCGTGATGGCTCCTGCAAACGACAGCGACAGGCCCACAGCCTCTGGCTTCAAGCCGCGCCCCGTCGGCGGTTGCTCCTCGGCAAAAATAGGATACAGAGAATTGTAAGAAATGTTGGCTAGTTGAAAGATGAAGTATGTCACCAGCAGCAGCACCGTGTCGCGGTTCAATACCTCCTTCCGCGTGAGCTCTTCGCTATTGGCGTGCGGAAATAATGCAGGCGCGGATTCGCCAGACGTGTCCGACACGTCGTCGTCTTCAATATTATCTTCGTCTTCGTCTTCACCTATGCTGCGTAGATGCGGAGAGTTGCGGTCCTTTTGTTGGCCAAGCAGGCGCCGTACATAAGTCGGTCGAGTCGAGCTAGTGAATTGCCATATCCATGAGAACAAATTGCCCAGTCTTTTTCCTAGAGGAGGGAGGTTCTTGACTTCCTCTAAGCTCTCTTCCAAAAAGATGATGCACACTACCAAATCAACAGCTAGAACAAGGGCTGAAAAGAGATTTGGGAGGAGATACGGATACGGATTGGCGTTGCTGCGTGAGAAGGGGTTCTTGTAGAGAACCAACAAGCCTCCGACAATGGGACCTGTGATTCCGCCAATGCCGTAGACGACAGGCAGGTAGGTGAAGGCGCGCGACTGATTGCTCCGGTCTGTGATCTCGCCCAGACATGTCGACACAACGCCAGAGTTGCCATTGACGAAGCCCATGAGTGCCTGTACGAGTATAGCATGCCACAGCTTTGTGCAGAAACCGAATAAGAGGAAACAGCACATAGTCATGAAGGTGCCCATGATGATGACGGGCTTGCGCCCAATCTTATCCGAAAGCCAGCCCCAGAAGAAGTTTGTGGTGAACTGGGCCAGGGCAAACGACGAGGCAATGAGTCCCACGTACAGACCTCCCTGGCCCTGCTTGACTTCGGGGAACGAGGCCGTCATCTCTGGAAGATATGGGCTGATTGAGTTGAGGGCAGTCTGCTCGGCAAGCGCTATGATGGCCAACACAATAAGCTGCCTGGTCGGCAGGGGCGACTCGTGGTTGCTATGGCCGTCTTGTGAGTCGCGGCCATGGCGGGGGGACGGCGATGTCGAAGGTGGTCGGCCGCGGGTCCTGGGGGGAACTGTGGGAAAAGTTTCGTAGTGGAGCGTGGACCGTCGCGCCTCAATGGCCGGTCGCCTTGACGAGGGCATGGTTGGCGATGCGTGGGCAGGTGGATGCTACCTCGTGAAGGCAGAGAAGGTGCAGCAAGCCTTGACATGCATCGAGTCTCGAACAGGGATGCAAAGGATGGTGCAAGGGTTCATGCCGCCATGACGCGCAGCAAAGTAGAGAGTATTAGAGAGAGAGTATTAGGGAGAGGGAGAGAGAATGAGAGAGTATGAGAGAGTATGGGCGCGTGAGTAGAGTGCGTCATCGGTCGCAGGAACATGTCCGTGTGCTTGGCGCGCCAAGAGCCGCCACACCTCTACTCTTCTCCAGCCTCCTCACCCACATTGCTTTTGTGCCTCGTGCCGGCCAACTGCATGTACAGCACAACAAGCGCAATCACTCGCCACTCGGCTTCCATATGTATGCATCTCGCCTAGCCTTGCATGAACCTGCGTTCCAACGACTGCCATCTCACAATATATTTTAATTTCCCCACGGCTTGGTAAGCCGCACAACCCATCGACAGATGCTTTGTCCATGGTTGAAAGAACATCTTTTCCAAGTCGACTATGTCAACAAGATGATTGCTCTAGGTCTTGAAACTATCCCCAGCACATTCACTAATGACTTAGCCAATCACTTTGCCACCACTTGGACCCGAGTTAACAGTTCGGCCAAATGCACCTTGTAGCGTCGTGGTCACCTACTTGGAGACGCCTTCTTTCGGCAAGGCTTGGTGGCCTTGCGAGCACATTAATTACGGTATGCCTGTCCAGAGTACATACAAACGTGACTCCTGTATATTGCAGAAAAAAGTGGAGTTGCATAGTCGTCAAGGCTATAAAGATGGCCGGCAAGTCTGCAATTTTTTTGACTGAGCACGAAAAGGTCAGTGGTCAATTATTCAACAGGAGAGGAAGAAAGAGAGACAGAAAGCAAAAAAAGATGCAATTCTACCAGAATGCCTACCTCGCTGCTGCGACTGCATGCACCCTCATCTCCCCATGCCTCTCTATTCCTGTCCAACCGCCCATCACAAACACATCGGCACTTCCACTCCACTATGGCCTCGTCATCTTCCCCCACTTCCAAGCCCTCGACATCTTCGGCCCCATGGACCTCGTCAACTCGCTCTTCATGACCTACCGCAACAAAACAGCAGAGCCCCATCTCTCCATCCTCAGCCGAACCATGGACCCGGTATCCTCAGCCATGATGCCCGGCGGCTTCGGCGAAGCAATCCTACCCACAACAACATTCAACCAGTACCTATCCGCCCACGCACCTGCCAATGATACCGCCTCGTCTGCCGACGGCAAGCCCGACATCGACGTCCTAATCGTCCCCGGCGGCGGCGGCACCCGCAACGACATGAGCGAGGAAATCGCCTTCATAGCCTCCACCTTCCCACGCCTCAAGTACATCATTTCCATCTGCACGGGCGCCTCGCTACTGTCGCGCGCAGGCGTCCTGGAAGGTCGTCGCGCAACTACCAACAAACGCAGCTGGGCGTGGGCGACATCACACGGCAAAAATATCACGTGGGTCCCTACTGCGCGCTGGGTCCAAGACGGCAATGTGTGGTCCAGTAGTGGGGTGTCGGCGGGCATAGATGCCATGTATGCATTTGTTGGCGCTGTGTATGGCGAGGACGTGGCTACGTTTATGAGTCTGAACCTCGAGTATACCAGGGAGTTGCACTGGAACGAGGATCCGTTTGCAGCGGTTTGGGATGTCCCTGGTGCGAAGTAGATGTATGGCAAAGTTTGGTTGCAAGTAATATATGGCTTGGCACATGTCTGTCATATACGCTGCTACCCCTCATGTCTTCACAAGACTGACATGTATACATGTGTGCGTGATTAAATAATATAGACTTTGATTCTTCACTGCTTAGCAATATCATTATGTACAGTCATCATCTCGTTCATTCATTCATACGAAGCCCACTCCCTATCCAAAACATCCAACTCACGCTTCGCCCATTCGTACTTGCTGTCGCCCGGCTCAGCATTGCCCAGTCCCCTCAAAATATCCTCTCTCTCCCTGGTAGTGGCAACTTGAGCCTTCTTCCTCTCCAAAGCCTTGCGCTTCAAGTATGCAAAATCCTCATCCTCGACACTACGCATCCATACCGAGCGCATGCGAGGACTCCACAAACAACAGCTTGACCCAGCTTCCGGGTCCTCACCAGGGACTAGCTGGATGGATTTGTTGAACAAGCGTGGAATCGTAGTGGGTAGGGATTTGGATTGCATGGCAGGCCAGACAAAGCGGTCGTAGCATTCCTCGCATACCGTAAATTCAGGGAGTTGTGGGATAAAGTACCATGGCTTGCGAATCAGTATCTTGTCTCTGGCGCACTCGCCCTTGAAAGCATAGTCGCGCGCCAGGTCGACAAAACGGTCAATGTCAGGTCGGCGACCAGATATCTGGGCCTCTTCGTCGAGCTCCATAAGAAGCTCCAGGTACTTCATCAGACGACGTGAGCTCATACGGAAGCTGCAAGTGTATCGACTTGGTGCGCTTGAGTAGCCAGCAGTGATACGGGGAAAGTAACCGCGGATGCTGGGAAATAGAGCTTCGGCCAATCTTCGGTCACTGGAACAGATGGCAAAGTTGGGCACAAACATGCCGTCGCGTTGATTGACAATGCCGTACCAACTGGCCTCATTAGTGTCCTTTTCTCGTTCTCCAGGGCACGGCTTGTATGTGTCCATGATATCTGCCACGGCGTAAAGTAAGTCGAGGGATTTCAGGCGCTGCTTTACAGTGAGATACCACGCAAGGCGCGGCCACGGGTTACTAAAGTCACACGCCCGCTTGATTGACCAGTCGTCTAACCAGATCTGCTTGAATTCCCCGTCGAATCTAGTCTCAAAAAACACGCTCTTGTAGCAATCAGGACATATGTTGAAATTTTTGAAGCCGCGGAGACTGTACCAATCATCGTACTCTCTCGAGGCCTTGCTCCTTGGACAGTCCGGCAGTGATTTGAGGTCCAAAGAAGCAACTCTCCGCAAGGATTTTTCCCTGCGATCGTCCTGGGAGCGGATGCTATTCGATCTTGCCCTCCTGGAGAGTCCGGGTTCCTCACGAGTGCTTTGTCTGGAAGGCTGGGCGTGGGAATCTCTAATATACGGGGAGCTAGTAGCAGACGGCGAAGAGGACCTGGGAGGTTCTATATAGTCTTGTCTTGGAGAAGCAATGGGTGAATGATTGTACTGATAATTCTGTTCCGGTGGCATCAAGACATCAATGAGCTGATCATCCATAGGATATGGCAAAGCAGAGTGCGAAGAGGATGGTCTCCCGGTTGGTAAGGAACTCTGTACATCACCACGCGGTCTTGGAGTCGGTATTGTCTCGTATCTTCCGTACCTAGAAGGCGGTCTTGATCTGTCCTGAGCGCGGACAGGGGGAACGCTGGTGTGCTGGTCGGTCTCGGAAATGGGAAAGCGACCTCGCCCAGGCGAATTAGACTCAAACGCGCTCGAATGAGATAGAGGGGTAGGAGGTTGTCCACCACTCCGAGAAGAAGGGCGCGTTCCAGGTGGTGACTCCTTTAACCGCGTCGGAAGTTGAGATGAGGTCGCCGTTCGTGGCAACGGTGAACTTGGTCTGGACATGGGCCGCGGGCTGTTGGCGTAGGCAGTATCAACAGGAACGGGTCTTGGCTTTTTTGCGCTATTGTTCAAGGAAGAAGCGGATGATTTTGGAGATTGGGCATACAGATTTTCCTTTGACGAGTTGGACGAGTATTCCTTGCGCAGGGTTGGTACCGAACGCTCCCCAGAGTCGCGCCTTGTCGATTCCGGCCTATGCTGCGTGTCCCGTAAATTTGTTCTCAAAGCTTCTCTTTGCAGATCGTTCTGCACGAAGCTGTAGCGTGCCGGTTTCCGGTCTGCTCGTAGGTGGGTAGTGCTATCGGTGTCCGAGTCCGAGTCAAAGACACGGTCTTTTTCCGCCGGCCGAGAGTTTGCAAGGGAGTTGTGACGGCTGCCGCTCGGTCGAGATGTTGGTGATTTACCATGGGAACGCCGTTGTGCGTCTTGGTCAACTCGGCCCATGTCCGATGTAGCGAAACGGCTGTCGGATGGGGTCATGGGTTCTGGCGAACGCAGAAAGTCGGTCGATATAGGAGCAGTCGATTCCTTCTGTGATTGTGAGTAGCCATAAGGCATCCTCTCTCGTTCTGTGAACAAAGGCGGGTCTGGGACATCGGTGTTGATATTCGACATGGGGCCACGGTCTGCGAAGCTCCTCCTCTGGCGATCTCGATGAGGGTTGGATCGTGTTGTCGCATCGGGATCTGTGGCGGATCCGGAGTTATGCCTCGAGCGACGGTCATCACCTTGTGCAGCACTGGGCTGCTCGATCTCGTCCAATATGAATTCCTGGTCGACGGTACCCCGCGTATTGACAGGCGGCTCGCCATCATCACGCCTTTGTGCTGGCGAAGGCGGCTGTGACCGAGCCTCTTTGGCCAGGGCTTCTGGCTCGTCCTCTACACTAGGCGGAGGTGGCCATGATTCCTTTCGTCTGTGTGACCTGTATGATTGCGAGGTGGATTGTCTGGGACGGGATGTGCGGGGCTCGTAGGAGGAGGGGTAGGAAGTAGTATAGGGATTGCTGGCGCGCATGTCTGTTAGTTCCCTGCGGGCGTCGGCGAGAGTGGCTTCGTGCCGCGAGTAGGCATATGCGTCTGCACCGCGCGGCGATGTATAATAAGAATCATGGCGTGGGTGCTCGTAATAGCGACTGTCGTATCCGTAAGACATGAATGGTGAACGTGAGAGGAGAGGTCAGACGAGCAAGGTGAGAGTGGCGCCTGCCGCGTGCATTGATTCTGAGCGTAGCAGCGTAGCCGAGGGTGGTGGTCTGGAGAGCAACGGGGGTGGAGGTGGAGGAGACAAAGGTGTTGCACAACGCAGCAGTAGCCGACATGTTGGACGGATGCTCAACACTGCTGGGTGACGCATAGGGCCCAGCGTGAATTGTGGGTCATGGCTGCTACGATACGCAGCGGACCCTATCGTTAGCCCACGCTCATTTGCTCGCTTCGCCGGCCCCGCCCCCAAGGCGGCGGCGCATGCCGGCGACCACGTTCACTGCCACTTGATGCGTTCATCGTGGCCACTCGGTAAGCAAGGCCACTACATACAGACATATTACGTACATCAGGTGAGCCTGTTCGGGGTGACAGGTAAGACTACACTTTGGTAGATGGTGGGCACAAGACAAACAGAGTACTACATAGGACTGCTATTGAGTCGTGTCCTTGCATGTGTGGATAATCATAAGTCTTTTCTTTTGTTATTCGGATAAGTTTAAATACACGTTAATCTTCATTCGCAGATATTTTGTCATGTGAACTATGTAAAATCTCCTACTACGCGGCTGTGCCTCGTCGGTCGCGCGATAGTATAGCTTGAAATAAGAAGGGAACATTGCGCATCATCTATCAAAGAAGCTTCAATGGATGATGTCGGATACATTTGGGAGGGGGGTCAAGACGCGGTAATTGGGTATCAAAAGGAATTCATGTCGGGTGGAAGAAGGGCGTAAAAAGAGAAGAGATGGTGGGAAGGCTTCGCCGTGGAAATGTGTCTTGTGCTTAGAAGAAATTACCCTGGGGAACGGCACAAAAGATACCGACAGCCACGCCAGAGATGATAAGGGCACCAAGAATGGCTTGGATGAAGATGGTATCCTGGATCTGGCGAAGAGCAGGCTCCTGGATCCAGACCTCACGGTCAAAGACCTTGCGAACAAGGTTGCGCTTTTCGTAGCGTGCGACCCATGGCTCATCTTCGTAAGAATTGCTGGATGCGTGAGATTCTATGCTCTCGGAAGACTCAGATTTGATCTCTTCGGCCTGTAGTTCGTCGTCGGATGCAAAAAGCTCCCACGGTCGGAGATGGCGGTGATGCATACCGTGAAGCACCACACACATGCCTTTCCAGGCTGCAATCAGGGTGGAGATGCCGATGAAGAAGCCAATCAGCGACATGACACGCCATGCACGACCAGCACCACTGAGAGCGAGAACGATTGCAGTAACGATACCGGCGACGATGCCGCCGATACCGAGACCACGTGCAAAGATGACACGGGGACGGTTGCCGTTGCAGATGGTCCAGCGGATAAAGTTGGGATGTGCCTGGCAACGAAGCGACCATTCGACAGACGTGATGACATCGTTGAAGGCAGATGGATGTGTCGTGTTTTGGAGAGCATGCAGCAAAGAAGTGTGCTCCTTGGACGAGAGGTTCAGTTGGCGCGGACCATTGTCGGCAATGTAGATGGAGATGATGCGATTGATCTCTTCTCGGTACGGCTGGATGGAGACTGCGGGGAATGAGCGAGTGGATCCTAAAAAGACAAAGAGAAGAACCAGTAAAGGCTATACTCACGTGGTTTCCACTTGAGGCCAGCATTATCAAACGCACCAGCAGCACGCTGGGCATGATTAATCTTGAAGCCAGACCTGCTGTCGCCGTCGAAGTCGAGAGAGCCGGCAGCGGCTTGGTCGAAGCTGCTAGGGGTGCGAGGCGGCGTGTGGAAAGGATCGCTAGCAGCCTTGTCGGATTCAGCACGGCGGCCTTCGGTGGCGAAGTCGGTGCCTTTGAGAATGGTTGCCGCTTCATTGCTATAGAATCGTGGGCCAGGCTTTGGGTCATTGGCGTTGTTAGTCTCACCGGTCCATTCAGGCGACAAGACCCTCTCGCTTTCTGGTAGGGCATTGAAGCGCTTGACGTAGTCACGGTACCAGAGGAAGAATTGCAGATTCTCGGCAGACAGCTCAATGTACTTGAGGAAGTTCATGAAATCACGAATGGTACAAGGCTGATGATGTAGGTTAGTGAGTGTAGTCTAGCAGTGGATGGATGGACTGGGATTGGGCAGCAGCAGCATGATGGACCACACATGCAAGTATACAAAGCAAGGTGCGATGGGCAAAACGTACCGGGCAAGTGCCACCAGCGATGATGTTATCAAAGGATAGGGCTTCGGGAATGCCATTGGACATGCCACTCGAGCCAGACTTGATTGATCCGCGAATTGTCTCGCGCTTGGTGTCATTTGAGATGGCAGAGGCATTGTCGGCAACAGTGGCACGGCCTGGTCGGCGATACGACAGTGAGTAGACCATGGTGGGCCGGAGACAGTGTGAAGGGTGTATATATGTATGTATGTATGAGTGAATGTGGGTAACGAAAAGGAAGTGAAGGAGGGGAGGAGAGGAGCGAGAGCGAGGCAAAAGCCAAGAACGGTTGTGCGGGCCAGGCGGGACGATCTGAGGGGGAGAAGGAGGAGTATATGTATGTAAGGGTGTATGCATCTACACACGTATGTAAGCGTGCAGAGTTGGGGAGAGCAAAGTAGATAGCAGTAGCGTCAAGATGCAGTTCCAGCAGGGGGGTGTGGTAGTTTCCCGCAGACATGGACAGGTCCCGCCGACCAGAAGGCCAGCTGAGGCAGCCACCAGTTTTGCACGGTTGTGACGGCTACAGGCTAGCGGTGCAGGGACGCGATATTGGCGACGACAACGACGATGGAGCGGCTACTATGTGGGCAGGACCTGTGTCGATCGCCCGGGCCCTTGTGCTCTAGCTACACCAAGTAGACAAGGTCACCTTGACTAGCACTTTGCCTAGTCATTCTCGGGCCTTTTCGCAGCAGTTACTACAGACATGCTTATATTAGAGTATGTGCGGTCGTACAATCCTCGTAACCACCAAGACACCTGGTATACACACGTACGCGTATGTGGACATGTCACGACGGCCCCTGCTGATGACCAAGATAACCACGCGACGTTGGGAAATGAAGATGCGACAGAGGCTGCTGTGACAGCGACGGCCGCCACAGGCAACGCGCCGGTGCAACGCTCGCAAGCGCAGCGAAAAAGGCGAAAAAGGCCAGTGGACAAGCCGTGGTCGAGCCGTGGCCGACGACAGTGACGTTGTTTCAGACAGCCACACGCAGCAGCCGATAATCCCCGCAGTCTGATTGGCTGTCGGATGACACGCCTGCAGCCAATCAGGGCAGCCTCTATCGTCACCTTGCATGTTCCTGCGACTATCTTATCCATGTGTGCAAACACACATACACTACATACATACATACATACATACATGTCTATGCATCGATTGCATGTACAGTCGCCATAAGTATTCCCAACACGTCTTCAAAGCCCAGCAAACTACGTAGTACATGCGTACATACTTTGCCTGGGTGGTGGCGCTCTCCCCCCTCTCCGCCCCCCGCCTCGCCCGATGCCAGAGACAACACCAGCCACTGACGCTTTCCGCAAGCCGGCCGATTGGTCTACTGCGTCTCCCAACTAGTGGCACAAAGTCAACCTACCTACCTACTTACCTTCCAAAACCCACCTCTTGGTCCTTGGTAGTTTTCCCCTTTTCTCCACCATTTCACGGCAAAGTCTGCCGCTTTGATCAGTATCGTAGACGCAGTTGCGTTGCCACAAACACCCCAAGCCTGAGCCGTGCCGTGTTCCCTGACACCCGTCAGAACCATTCTCACGGTTTCGCGTGGCTCACCACATGTCACCCACACCACCACGTCCCCACGTCACGTGTCGTATACTTCAGTACAAGTCTGGGGCCTGGTATGCAAACTTTGGCATAACGCCACTCAATCACCTTTCGCTTTCGCATATCCACCACCTTCTCCCCATCATTGAAGCTTATACTTATTCATGTCTTTGAACGCCAGCTGGCCCCCCTTCCCGCTAGTGAGTCCCTCGGCCTCGGGTCAAGTTTTCATCTAGTTTTCATCTAGTTTTCATCTAGTGCCAATCGCTTCTGCTTCGCCGACTGGTCCATGAGTGGAAATGCGCTAATGTACATCTAGCTGTTCCATGGCTTCCTTCACCAGCTCCTGTGACTGCACCCTCCCCTTGATCCCCTCGCCGCATCCTCGTCGATTTTTTCTTTTTCCTTGGGTAACGTCCTGCGGCTTTCGGGACCCTGGCCCACCATGGCTTCGATCCAAAATCTGCGACTGGTGCGACCATCGCCGCTACTTTGTGCGTTCCTGCTCCTTATCCCCATGTGACTTCCAAAAACAAACACGATCGTGGGTTCCCGAGGACCCACTTTGCATCGACTTGGCAATCTCCATCGCCAGCCGCATCTTCCTTGAAGGCCATTGCATGCATACCGCTGCACACACCCCTGGTCATCTCGTCTTGCCAAACAAATCTTTGTAAAGAAAACCATGTTTGCCCTCGATCCTGATCCAAAAAACGGGGCGCTCAGGGGAAAATCTGCCATCCCTGCTGCACACCCGCGCTGTGCATCCGGATGAACACGTCGTCGGCTAATCACTTTGCATCCACATCATATGCCTTCATCTCCCAGCCGTGCAAACTCCACCAATATGCCGCACTGCAAGCAATGTTCCGTTTGGGGGGTGCAGTTGCGAGATGATTTCTCACCAGTCAACTGTCCTCTTTACCACTGACACATAGATATATGCACACCATGGCATTAGGCAAAAGTTGACTTTGTAGACGAGCCTTCACATTGCCCCTGTAGCCCTGGCCTGGGTTCGGGTTGCGTCTAGGCCACGGTCTTTGCAACTGCGGATGGCGATAGCCTAAGGCAGGTACCACGGTGCGGCAACAATTAGCACACTAGCAGTATCACATACTACGCTTGACAAATGCTGCGCCGCCCAACAATCAAACTCTGCCCTTCTAACTCGCCCCAGTTTCCGTGTCAGGTCGGCAAACGCAGATGGTGAATCAGATTTTGTATACTGAATGTCGAAAACAATGCAACTCCAGATTGCACCAAACAAGAGACATGCATGCAAAGAAAGGACAGTACGGTTGGAACAAACCATTTGTCTCATGATGGCCACCCAATACCTTGCGCCTAAGCAGCCTTCATATTACGGCTTCCCGGTAGACACTCCATCATACCTGCTGCACAATAGTTACCCTCATGGACTTTTCCGGTATTGAATTGCACTTCCGTACCCCACGACTAGGCTTCCAAGTCTTTCATTACTCAAACGATATCTCCAACCCCCACGCCCTGCCCTTGGCACACAACATTGGAATCTTTAACACCCTTGAGCAAGCACAAGATGCAGCCCAAACCGAGTTGGCACATGTCTTGGAATTCCATCTCAACCAAGGGCACGTCGGTCGTTGTTTTCGCGACATGAATCTCAGTCTGCGCGGTCTCATCACAGCGTACGTGGACAGCTTGAATGACACCAGACAGTTGGTTCGGCGCGAGCTCATTTTGAGCGAATTCCACATTGTGAAAGTTGACGTCTGGGATCCATCGTGGGCTGTTGAGGCCCAGAGGGCTGTTCATGAAAGCAATGTGCAAGCGCATGGAGCAGTCATGCCAACACGTGAACCATCCACGCACAAATGTCCTTCGGAAATAAATTCAACATATGTTCAGCACGATGAAGAACGTTCGCCAGAATGGGCAAGATCTCGCATCCCACTATTTGCTCGTCGAGACGAATGGCCCTTGCGTCGACCAGGCGACCCACCTTACACAGTACGAATGGGCTTTTCGCCACCAAAGTTAATACCTTGTATTCGGTCCGTATCCGAGCAGTTAGTCAAACCTCAAAATAGTAAGCTTTTGCGAAGAAACAGCTGGTGAACTTGAATGGACTACCAGTTCAGTATCAAGCAATGAGAGTAGATTGTCATAGTTGGACGGATTTGGCGAATAACCAGAGATGAACGTAGTCTCCATCCCTTCATGTTTACCTAAAAGTATAGATAGACCGTCTTCTTCTTTTTTGTGTTCAAGTATACTACTGGCCATTAAATGACTGCTATGTTCAGTTCAAACAAAAGATCTCCTATTCCCATATCACATGATCATTTATTAAGAAGCGCCCAATCATCTCGTTCCACTCATTCATTTTATTGTATGGCATACGTTGTATGTAGAAGTACCTAACATACACACATACATATGCACGTAGCCTCAAAAAGCAAAGTCTCCACATCGCGGGTAACACGACAGGGGTACTACCGCGACGATCCAAAAGTAATCATCTAGTCCCCGGCGAAGATACCGATCAGCCCTGTTTCAAAATGACGATCTTCATCGGATCTTATCCACTACTCTTTGCCTTCCCCCTCTTTCGTTTCTTCTTCTTCCCGTACTTTCTTATCTCTTACGAAAGGTGGTGTGCAAATCAGTTCTTGAGTATCCAACTCACAATGCGATGGTATCACATGAGCGGTAAAAGAAATTGTTTCTCGGGATGCGAAGGAGCCGGGAGAAGGTATGCGGATGGGTGTGGAAACTTGGTATACATTCAACTACTAGAGTCTGATGCGACTTGGCAGGTGGTATTGTGATCAAAATGTACCAAAAGCTTGTGTTGGTAAGATTGGTCTTGAGTCTACTCTACACTACCTGGTATCATATTTTGACTTGGGCTTGGATGAGCTACTCGATAGGAAGAATACCATGCAATAGTATGAAACACCTATACTCAGAACCTGCTGGATGGTATCTGACTCCCCCAAAGATTAACAAAGCCTTCCTAATCTTCTTGCGACATCGAGTCAACGAGCGCGACACGCCAGCGCAGAATACAAAATCACAATAATAAACAGGGAAGTTAGCTGTGTAACAACCTACTCCCAGTGAGCACAAATCGATTGGTCGCGGAGGAGTCAACCGCATCATACTCAACCTTAGTGTTTTCATCCCAAAATAGCCTAGTTGCTCCATGTACACGTGGTAGTGCTACTAGTCTAGTGATCAGACTCACCGCTCAGCCTCATCTCCACCACCGCTTGTTCGCATGTCCATCACACTTTGCAACAATCCGATCACCCTAGCGCAAACGCTATGCCAATCAAAATGCTCAGAAACATGAGGCGCTGCGAAAGCGATAAGAAGGCCATGTTTCGCGTTCAACCTTACCCAGCACACCCCCGACAATCACAATGACTTTTGTAAAGATGACTCTTACCGTCCGCGTACGCTTACTTCTTGAACTAAACAAAGTGATGCTGAATACCATGTTCTTTCTCCAGACCGCTCATATCACCCCCGCCCTCTCATATAGTCAAGATATTTCAAGTTGAAAAAAAAAACTCTCCTCCCACTACACATATCCTCCCACCTCGCACTTTTTGCTTTTACATACCCATTGCAACAACACCTGCAACATACCAATTACCAATTCTTGTATTAACAATATTCTCTCAATCTCAAAATAACTACATTTTTTTTTGGTACCATGCCCATCATGCCACCTACTGTTATCACAGCCATACAACAATATCTCCGCTGGGACGCAGAAATTAAACGGCAAATCGATGGCAAAACGCGCGCGAGGACGTGCTCGATTACACGACGCGGTGTGTCAAACGTGATGGAAGACCAGGAGGCGGTGGTGTGGCGACGGGGTCATGTCAGGGGAGATTCGGCGTCGAGTGTACGATCGGTATAAAAGAATGGAAAGAGATTTTCGGGAATGAATAGTAAAATTGCAAACCAAGGGAGTTGGAGTGATGAGAAATGATTTGCATGGATGGATAATCAATTAGAAGGAGAGAAAAAACAAACTTTCATGGAACAACGAGATGCAGTATACACTGTGTCAGAAGTATTTGATTTGAAGCGTTCAAACCTGTACTATGCACTACACAATAAACACATCATCTAGACCACCTTCTTCTGCCCAACACCCGTTATCCTCTTTTCCGTCCCCAATAAGCCGCCCAAGATACTAATCCCCATCTGCACGAGCGTAACAACGAACCTAACGACATAATCCTTCCACTCCAAAACGGGTCGCCTGCCCCTCATAAACTTTGCATCTACCACCTCCCACCCCGCCTTGCCACCCAGCTTCTCTCCAACCTGCAATCCGCTTCGGCATCCGTCTTCATGGAAGCCGTAGCCCGTCCACGCGCCGGCGTACCAGATACCGCGTTTACCCTGAATCTCGTCGAGGCGATCTTGCGCAAAGACCATGCGCGAGTTGTACAGGGGATGGCGGTACTGGTATGTTGCCTGGGTGAGAGCAGGAGAAGGGGGCGAGGATGGATTGAGAGTTACGAGCACGGATGAGAAGGTGTCTCGGGGGATGTGTTGGAGAGTGTTCATATCGTAAGTCAAGCAGACGGACTCGATGGCACCGGAGGATGAGTCTAGGTTTGGGTTTTTGGGTGGGTTGGATGCAGATGTTGTGAGATAGTTCCATGCGGACCAGGCTGTGCGGCGTTGGGGCATGAGCTAGGGGTTATTAGCAGGCATCCTCTCTAAGCTACTGTTGGCAGACTTACTGAGAGGTCAGAGTGCAAATATGCGGTATTCGGCGTTGTTTCGAAGGCGTCTAGGATTTCCTTCTCTTTTTCGGTTGCATCATCTCCCAGCATCCATCTTGCTTGGTCTCCGTGGCAAGCCAGCACGACTTCGTCGAAGATCTCCGTCTGGCCCTCTCCCCTTCCTCCCAAAGTCAATTCGACTTTCTGATTCTTACTCTTTACAGCCAGGACAGGCGTTCCAAGGTGGCCTTCACAATTGCCAGCTAGCTCCAGCACAGCGTCAATGTACTTGCTGGATCCGCCTTCAACAGTCAACCAGGGCGGCCTTTCAGCGATGGTGCTAAGCAGGTGATGGTTCCACATGAAGCGCACAAGTGTCAAGGCTGGAAATTCCAGAGCGCATTTGTCTGCGCCAGTACTCCATACGCATGCAGTCATTGGAATCAAGTAGTCATCCCTAAAGGCGTCCGAGTAGCCCTCTTGGTCCAGATACTCTCCAATGCTCATCTTGGTGGCGGCAATGGCAGCTGGCGAGCCTGGAGTGATTGACAGCAAGTCGAGAGCAAACTGGTTGAAGCGGACAATATCGAAAATCATGCGCCAGAAGGATGGTTTGAGTGCATTGGATGGCTGAGCGAAGAGCGTACTGCCCGATGTGCCGGACCATTCAAAGGCACCTGCATCGCGGGAGACGCCAAAAGTCATTAGGGACGGCACAGTTTTTACGCGCAGAGTGGAGAGAAACTTGATAAAGTTTGCTATTGTCTGTCAACTTGGATTCGAGTGGCAGGATATGCGGGAAGAGACGAACGGTAGGTAGCCGTGTTCAAAACGATGAAGCCAGTGTCAACAGGCGTGCTTTTGCCGTTGTGCTTCCACATCACCGTATTTGTGTGGCCGCCCAGTCGCTCCTCTTTTTCAAAAAGATGTACCTCATGCTGGGTATCGCGGAGGGCAAACAGGGCACTCAAGCCAGATATGCCGCTGCCGACAATGGCTATACGCTTTTTTCCCGCCTCGTTGCTCATGGTGAACTAGTGCGGAAGCGCAATTGTTGCACGAGCAGGCTAGAATTCAATGCTGGGTGGATGTACCACAATGACAAAAAGACAACGGGCAGAGCGAGTATGAGCTTCGGAAGATATGTGACTCATGAGGTCATGGATGTTGAAGCTAGGCCCGTCGCTACAAGTACATGACTAATGCCGCCGCTGCTCGTTTCACGCATTCCAACAGCAACAGAGCCATGGTGCAGTACAATGTGGTGTTGCATGCGTGTAGCATGTTTCCACAAGACTAGATTATCATTGGTGCCCAGGTTGGACCTACGTAATTAGCCCTCTGGAAAAAAAGATGGAGTGGGCCGCTGATCCTACTAAACAGTGGCCCCACCCGGTTGCGATGATTATGTAGGGAAGATGCGGTCTCCAAGATTGGTGAGCGCATGCTGGGCCTTTGAGACATGCAGAGTCGCAACATGGTGCGCGGTGCGGCCTTGTGTGTGAGGAAGTACGGACCATGCCAACGACGCGTTCAAGACGCGGGTTGGCACTGGAAAAGCAATCATGAGTGTAAACTGACGCGACCGTGCTGGGGATTGGAATAGCTAGAATCATCTCCAAGAGACATCTACAACACCTGGATAGACAATGAGTGCGAGCAGAACAATCAGGCACAGATGCGGTTCACGTGACATGGGCAGGGATGGCCTTGGCAACTGCGTAATGGCCGCATGAGCTCTGGAGTATCGGCTCAACGCCTTATTCACTTGCACATCGACCAACAACTACACACCCATACGCACACGTCTACTTCTCGCACACCCCGTACAGACAAATTCCGATAGCGAAGCCATGTCTAACCTCATCGATGCCGACGCGGGCACCGAGCGCTTCAGCGGCTATGAGGCCGAACTCAAGCTGGTACAAGCCGACCTCAGCCAGCAGATAGAGCAGATCAAAGAAACGACTGGCGAACCCAGGAAGGCCGCCATCAGTAGGGCAGAGCGTGCGCTGGAGGAGGCCGAGGAGTTGGTGAGTTGCAGCCTGGAGACATCGCATATGCGGAACAAGGCATATGGCTTGATGTAGCGACAACATGTGCAAAGAATGCAACGCTCACAAGTCTCCTGTTTAGATTGGCCAGATGCGCCTCGAAAAGTCCAACATTCCCGCCAATCTCAAGTCCAAGTACAACGCGCGCTTTCGCAACTTTGAGCACGACCTCGATACCAGCAAGCGCAAGCTGCAAACATACACCTCGGACCGCTCCAAGCTCTTTGGCGACCGCTACACCGACAATCCCGATGGCGGCGACGCTCAACTCGAGCAGCGCCAGCAACTTCTCTCTGGCACAGATCGCTTGAACAGGTCGAGCAACAGGCTGAGGGAGAGCCAGCGGATTGCGCTCGAGACGGAGCAGATTGGCGCTAGTACCCTCGGCGACTTGCACAGACAGAGGGAGCAAATCACGAACACAAGGGAGAGGCTGCTCGAGAGCGAGGGATACACCGATCGGAGTATCAAGACTCTGAGGGGCATGGCGAGACGGTATGTATAATTCCCCTGGTTACCCCCTTCCATCTCCCCACACCTAGAACCCCTGGTTGATAGGGAGGTGTAGATGGATGCCCTTTTGATCTGTGCAACCAACAGATACTAACCATGTTTCTCACTGCAGGATGGCCACGAACCGCATCATTACCATTGCCATTATAACCGTCCTGGTGCTACTCATCATCGCCGTCATTTTCAGCAAGTTCAGATGAGCGTACCCATTCCCTTCTAGCTACGATTGCGTGACTTGTTTCCTTGTTTGGCGTTTGGAGCAAACAACTGTGTATATTACATGGGGGGGCCACTTTTCTCGTTAGGAGAAAGAGGCCAAGTCATGATAGTTGCGTTAAATGCATTATACTACTCTTTGTACCTGTCTCAATCAAGACTCTGGTCGTCTTGAGACGTCTGCAACTTACTATGTCCTCTTGCTTCTTGAACAATAGCCTCGTACCAGGAGAGAATAACCGTCTTTTCCAACACGCTGCTTGTTTGTGCCTACTCGAGTATCCACCAACCCAGCCACATCCTGCCACTGCCACAAGGCGCGCATACGTAACTTTTCCTCATCATGCTACTCAAACGAAGGAAACCCATACGTTACATGATTACACACACACCTACGCCATTTTGCCCTGATCACACACACACACACGTCACTAAACCACTTCATTCAGCCCCGGGGCGGCTTTTTTTTAAGTATCACACGTGTAAGTCCTATGCTTGAAACGCCAAGTTCGTACCGTGACGCAGCAAAGGTGGAATGATAGACGGGAAACGAGATGGTGTGGTGAAACGGGTGACGGAGGGGGTTGCTTAGCTAGCGGGGTAACAAGGGTTAGTGTGGGCGAGAGAGAGGATGGGATAGTGGAGGGGAGGGGAGCGTGGTCATCGGTGGATGTTGGGGTTAGATTGGGGATTTTGAATGGAGGAGGGTGAGGGGGGGGTTGGATTACAGGATAATGGTGTGGTCTATGGTCTCTTTGTATAAGAATTTATCTGGGAAAACGATAGTAGGACCTTATGACATTTGCTTCAGGGACTCAAAAGGGAAAAAAAAGAAGTGCAGGCAAAGACGAGAGTGCGATTGAGTGAGAGATATAAAAAAAGACTTTATTATTATTGTAGTAGCTTCACGGCTAGATCCTTGGAGAGGCTGACCCGCGCGCCACTCTCTTCCTATTCACCCCCACAACTTGTGGCGGAAGGGGGGGGGGAGGGAGAGTGGTGCAGGCAGCTACGCAGCTATGGGGCGAAAAGTCACGGCCTCCTTTGGGGAGGGGGCATCGCGGACTTTCGCAGCGCGCGTAATTACAAGAGTACCTGTTCTTTCAAGGCGGCTGGCTCGTGGCTTTCCTTGTATGTACATAGCGAGCGTGTGTGTGTATGGTTGGTTTACCTGTGATTAAAGACGATCACTCTTTTGTTTGTTTATTTTTTTTCCTTGTCCCTTGTGTCAGTTACACTGGAAATCACTTCATTCGTGAGATCCGAAAGGGAAGGGGGTTGGGGGTAATTTCTTGTCGGTTTCTAATTCCTTCAGCCCAACCTGCGATGATGTGGATGGCCGTCGCATCCACGAGCCTGGCGGCAGTGAAGGTGATTTTCGGATGCGAAGTGGGGCGGGGAAAGCCGTACTGAGCGGCGAAATGGGTGTCATGCGTCGAGCATCAAATCCTGCTTGAAGACGCGCTATGCATCGTTCAAGTGCTACGCTTGCTGTGCTTGACACGGACGTATTACTTCCTTTGCGCGAGTGTCCTTGGAAATCGCGCAAATATGGTGAAGACGGCGGTGGTGTCTCAGTCATTTGAGACAAGGGAGAGCCTCGACCTGATGGACGGGAGAAGATGGACTGGAGAGGAAATGTCTCGTGCCAAGAGTCCTCTTTAAGAATATCGGCTCGAGGTGGTGTTGGTGTATTGTCAGCCTTTGGTTCTGCAGTGCTGGGTCTAGGTGGTATTGTGACGAGTCTTGGCGGTGTGCTGATGAATTGTGGTGGTGTGGTTTTGGGGCTTGCTTGCGCCGTACGGGGTCTCGTTTGTGCGGTGTTGGGTCTTATTTGTGCAGTGGCGGGCCTAGTTTGGGCGGTGCTAGGCCTTGTGATATGTGCAGTGGCGGGCCTAGTTTGGGCGGTGCTAGGCCTTGTGATATAGGCAGTGGGAGGACGAGTGGTATACTCTGGGTACTTTCTTCGTTCCGCCGCTATATCTATTTTGAAGGTTCTATACTTCAAATATCTGGGCGACTCTGAAAAGTATTGGGGCAAAACAAGGGCGAACAACGGCCGCATAGCTGGTAAGCAAGCACACACGATGCCTACGTTGACCTCGACTGCCGACAGAGTTGCATGATCCGTGTTGTCAAACGACACGTCTGTTGAGTTGGCAACGGCGTCCAATGAATAGAGCCTAACAATGGATACCAAGGTGACGCTGTCGATTCGTCAGTTCATTGCATGGTTTACGACGAGCAAGCTTTACCTACCTAGCACCCAAGATGAACATAGTCCCTAGCCCCCGTTTTTGTGATTTCGAGATTGATAGCCCTCGTATGACTAATAACGGCATAAGAAATATTACCACATCCAACGTGATGTTCAAGGCGGCATTGGTAATCCACACTGTGAGTTGGTTCATGCACCTACCGCCTGGTATCGACTTATCCCACGAGAAAGCGATCGGAGTGCAAATGAGTACGCTCGAGGAAACTGCCCAGGCTCCATATGCGATTACCAGGCCCAAGACAACGACACAGGCTATCCGGAAGCCACGCACGGGAAAAATGCGGAAATATTGGACAAGGATGGAGACCTTGATTGTAGTAAGGGTGAGGCTATAAACCCAGACACTCGCCCAGAACGACTGGTATGCTTGTCAGTTTTCTTTTCCAACAACTTAAGAGAAGGTAGGAATGTTGGGTCGTGTTTTAGACGGAGTTCGCCCTGCATGCAAGCTTACACTTGCTTGAACCGAGAGCTAGCTTTATAGAGTACAAAGACCTCAGTTGGCGCTCTTGAGCTGTACAAGAGGGTGGAAGGGGCTTGTGAGAGCGTACCTTTAGCAGTATATCCAGCTCAGTTTTCGAGAGTTTCGAGCTATGCTTTCCCAACCCATTCATTACTTGTTCGGTGGTTAGCACCGTAAGTCCTACGGAAAAGACCTAGGGGGGCTTTCATTAGCGAACGAGTATATGATGAAGACTATGCTCACTCACCATGGCCAGTACAATAAAAGCATCTTCCCATCCAGCCATTTTTGATATTACTAGGCGTGTGAAGAGACGTAAAAAAACAACCAAACTTGAAACGAGGGTGAAGGCAAGTGTTATGATATTAACCCGTATTCCAGCGGGGGTAGAATTAGTGATGTTCATTATGGTGGAGAGGTAATAAGGGCCAGTCGAGCGTCTTGATGATAGAAGAAAACCGCCAAGAAAAGAAGAAGCTGTAACAATCACATTGCTCAATACTCCATGTTCAGCGTTATGGTAATAACAGAGGGTATTAAGACCCGACACTAATGGTTATAAGGGTCAAGAGGCGAGAGCGACGCAGCCAGGATGAAAGGGGGACCTAGCGCGAGGAACAGGGTAAATTGGTGAAGGTAGCTTCGGGAGTTGGAGGCATGATGTACATCTATTGGCAGCTCAGTTCAGCTCGAACGATGGCAGGGTTAGCAGGCTTTAGACAATCCTGCTGAATCTGGAAGTGGGGTGGTGGCGAGCAGTATCAAAATAGGCTGTCCAGACCCTGCCTACGCTCTCAAGTCATGACCGTTTCGAACGTGACGAAGACTATAGTATGGCGATCAGTCAAAGCATCGGCCGACTACTGCCTTGTCCAGCGTGGCGCGACACCAGATACGGGGAAGAACAGGCAGGAAGAGTAAAAGACGGGGCGCAATGCCGCGCGGATTCCCCTCTCGGGTAAGTTCATGGGACCCTCTGTGAGTAACGTCCTGGTTTGGCTAGGCTTCGGGTGTTGTGACTGAGGCGATGGTACGGAACTTTCGGCGTCGCATGTCAATGACTAGATGCCGTCTTTTAGCAATCAAATAGTGACGACGTGAGCGGTTTGCAGTGGCCTGAAGGATGACTGATTCTTGCCTGGGGATGCCGTTGTGCATAATGGCGGCCCTAGGTGTTGCGCATGAATACATGCATGCATGTGCGGAGGGCGGCAGTTGGCAGGACGAGTTTTGTTTGCCCTCGTGGTTCGGAATTTGTTATGCAGCCGTTTGCGGAGGATGGCGCAAGGCGACTACTAGCTAGTGTCGACGCTGGAGGTCCGGCCGAACGCCAGTTGTGGGCCGAAACCTTGATGAACATCTTACGACCCTGAAACCGCCCCAAGGCTATCGACGAGCTCTGCAGCAAATAACATTTGCCCTAAGGTGGGAAAACAGTCCCTAGATGCATCTTGGTGATCTCAGGGATGCCGCATAGGGCACACGCAATAAACCTTGTTAAGCAGTAGCAGGCGTGGCAAAACAGGCGTGGGCGCGACAGTGAAGTCGAGATGCCGCAGATGTAGATGGTTCGTCGGACAAGCTAGGCATGAGCCTTGAGTCGCTCGATATCGTGACAGCTGCATGGGGCATGCATGGTGTGGAGAGTCAGGTCGAGAAGGGTGACCTGATTTTCGTCGCTCGCTCTTGTAGACAGTAGTTGACAAAGCTACTCTCAGCTTTTTGCACTATTTCTGCAGATGGCTCGTGTTCTTTCAAACTCTGCTTTGTTGACATGTCCTGGTGTGGGCAATCTCATCTCTGTTGTGTACATCAGACAGAACTTTGTGTAGGAAATGACACCTGTTTCTCGCCCAAAAAAGGTATCGTGAGCATGGCACTCGAGAGTTGCGTCTCACCAAGTGTAGTGAGGACGATGGCGTTGACTGCATGGCGCTGAGTTGTTTGATCTTCCGGAAAGTTGGCTTCCAGCATGCCTGAGGTTAGATGTCTTGTAGTATGACGAAAAAAGTCTCCGTAGAAGTCCTGCAATACACTATGCATTAAGGACTAGGTTGCAAGTGCGGCGCATATTGACAGGCTGGAAATCCTTCGGAGGCGCAGCAAACACGATGACAGATTTGCGCGACATTGATGCCTTGCAGAGTTAATAAGAGTGGAAGGGGCAATCCCTTTGTGGCGTTAGCGATTGGCATGTTTGTAGACAAATACGTCCGTACCGAGGAATATCAAATTCCCAAATAGCGATGATGGCCTTGGCGATGATGACAGTGAGTGAATTGGGCGACTCGCAACACGTGAACTAGGACCACCTGTTGCCTGACACTCGAATCATCGAGCCATGCCGATACGGGGCCGGGGGTTGTGAATGAGTCGCCTCAGTCGGGTTGGCGTTCTTATGTAGTGTAGTCGGGAGGAAAAACTCGCTTGCAAGCGCAGAGCCTTGTGAGTAAGTAGGTGATGTAGCCATCTACGCACATGCGCTACGCCCGCTAATCCTGCTGGGCGGAGATTTCTTGACATTGCGCTACAATATGTAGGCCGACCATATAGTGTAGACACTTGTGGTGAGTGATAGGAGTGCGTCAGATACTTTCGAGCGTCGCAAGGGAAACACTGCCTTGCAAGATGCCACGGCTCTTCTTCAACAAAGCAGCAAGCCGCAATGGTCAACGAAAAGCAGCACAAGGCATGCGTGGTGTGTCAAAAATTCCCAGCCGACCCGAAGGCCAACTGGAGCGGTCATAGTTGTAGTTTTCAACTAGCAAAAACGCTACCTCGGACGAATCCTCACTGGTAAGCGTAAAGCCCGAGCACTTGGATGCCGAGGGACAAGGAGGAAGAGGGAGACGCAGCTTATATACCTGAGGGGTCGCGCTAAATTCTTGGCACGCTAGTATCACGTGATAAAGCCGTGCGCAGGCAGCACCAGGCAGCCTTGGTTTGTTGGAACCAATCACAGCGGCGCGGGCTTCACAAGGGTCCGAGCTGTTCGGCAGAAGTTTCCCGACTCTCACCCTCAAGTCCCGATAGAGTAGGGTAGTACAGTACTGGAGACGCCTTGGACGACAATTGATAAGTCTTCAGGTATAGTAGTGTGTTGTGTATAGATACGCCCACATAAATACGCAGGTATATGCATACACACATACATACATACATACATACATACATACATACACGGCTGCTCAGCGCCAAAACTCTCCACGGGCCAGCGCAGAGTATATGCCATTAGTAACCAGCACACTCCCTGCCTGCCTCGTCTCGCCAAATCCTAATCAATTGTCATCGTCGGTGTATACTTAATGTTTGGCCCATACGAGCAGGAAGCCTGGTCTTTCCTGAAAGGGCATCAATTTTCGCTAATACCCATGTCCCCCCCAGTGCCAGCTTCACCATCCGCTCGTATCGAGACTTCCATTCCCATCTACTTATACGCATGTAGCTAGCCTCAACCTGAGCCTTGCAGCTAGAGTTCCCAGTCTTTAAATTCTGGTTACCAACGAGCTTTGGCCGTGGTTCCGCTTACCTGGCCTTGCCACAACCACTATCCAGCAGCCCTTGCCCCTCTTACCCCTTGCTGCCACAACCAGCATTATATTGCAGTTGGGGTATTACTTTAGACTTGCCTGTCCTTAGCCTTGAGCAAACAATCTTCTTGCCTGCTACGTATTGCCTACTCCCAAGATCCGGCACACCAACTGCTGCTGCTGCTGCTGCCGCTGCTGCCGCATCAACTCGACATCTCCCACTTTCTTCATTGTAACGTGAAATAGCTTGGATGGAACCTGGACCCTTCCGAATGGGTCGCAGGGTTGGCGCCGGTTGTGGTGTTGTATCCCCCATACGTCGAAGCTGCCGCCGCAGCTGTGGTCGTTGATGGTCGAGGCACACGAACGTCTGGAACAGGGTCAGAGTGAAAGTCTCGTATTACCGGTGCCTCTTTGCGGTCCCAAAGATCCGACACGTCCACACCATACTGCCGAGCCACCCTCTCAAAGCAGTTGAAGGCTATTCGATGAGCACGTGCGGCCACGGGTCCCTGCATCCGCTGGAGCCAAGATATCGCCTTCCTCACGTGATGAATCATTACTGAAGCCTCGCACGACGTCGATGAGGGATACGAGAGACCGAGTAGGAAGACGGAGACTGCTTGCATCATGTGGTGCACGAGACACCACCAGGGCAAATCTTCATGAATTCGACTGCTGACATCATCGGGCAAAGACGCAACAATCGCCCTGGCGGCCTCAATACACCCATCCGCCATGTTCCTTGAAAAGCTTGCGTCGTGGGAATCTTTCCATGGTTGCCGTCGCGCAGCCAGAAACGGTCGTGTAAGCAAGATACGCGCGCTGCAAAACTGAAACTTGAGGAGCACACGCTCACGAGAAAACCCATCGCTAGGCCCTCGCCCATCTCCATGCGGTCGGAGCTCCAAAGGTAACGAAGAAACCCACTGGTCTAAGCGTTGACGCAAAAATGTCGAGTCCTGCTGAACATCACTTGGAGACCGGATCATCGTACCAGCCGAGTAGAGTGAGGTGAGAATATTCTGGGTTATTATCGACAACTGTACCCCGGCCCTGAAGTACAAACCAGGACCGGTGCCTGGTTTTGCAAAGCCCTGTGGTGTCACAGGACGGTTCGCGGCAACATTGGATGAGACGGGAAACGGGGTCAAGTGTGACATCGCTACATCCCCAATATTGGCATAGGCTGCTGTGATTCCCTCTCCTCTGCCGTCTTCAGAATTCGTCATGGGCAATGGTACAGAACAGTATGAGTCGACCACGATGCTTGGACGACCGGTTATGACGCTGAGTATTCTCTCAATAGAGTATAGGCTCCACCAAATCTGCACTAGAGATTCTCGTTTCTTCGCATTGGCCGACGGGTCTTCGTTTCGCACATGGAGGCCCAGGGAATATGCAGAACGCAGAGCGATGCCGACGATTGTCCAAGCACTAGCATGGTCAGCACCTCCGTCACTCTCAGCCTACACAGCAAAATGGACATTAATCAGGCACTTACCGATTGACCTGTCCAACACTAAGCCAGTAGAATCCGAGAAGACCCAAGCTTTGAATCTGTGGCACATCTGGATGAGAAGCCACTGCAGCCTCACTCAACCCAAAAGCACGCGCCCGTGCTTGATATGTAATGTGCTCATTTGCCAACCAGCCTTCATTCAGGTGTGCATAGTTGGCTCCAATGGCAAAGACGAGGTTCAGGATGATTTGCCACTTTGGATTCAAACTTGGCGCGTTCCCGCTCTGCAATGCCCCAAAGTATACACGAGCCTGCTCCGTAAACTCTCTACTGGGAATAATAGGAAAAGAATCGTGCACTTTGGACATGTAGCATTGCACTACAGGGTTAAACATGTCGGGTCAGCGTATATATCACAGGAAGTATACTGTTCATCCGTGACTTACACAGATGCTCGGCAATATGAGGTTGCGGTATTTCGTGCGGGTCCACATAGAAGTCTATGTTTACATCGTCGCAATCTGTCCAGAAGCTGAACGAACTAACCGGCTCGCTGCTGGTGGCGTACGAAGGGTGTCGTGCCGGTCCCGAACTATCCCAGCTCCCCTCTGTTCTCTCGGCTTGGGCGAGTGCAACTGCGCGCAACCATTGCACCTCTGAACTCTTTCCGACAAACCCTGTTGACCGAGCTTCATCCTTACTATGCAAGTCTTCATCTAGCAAGTCTAGAGCCTCAGTTTCGAGATGCTCGAGATAATCGATGCTGCCCAACTCAACATTTCCGTGTGAGCTCTGAGCGTCGACGTCAGAGTTTGACGGCGTTGGCGTCAGCCTGGGCTCCGTCAAGTCTTCGCCAATCTATGCTGTGTCAATACAAGGGAGCCTTTGTTGACTTTGGAGATAAAGGGGTTGGTAGCAGAGGCTTACTTCGTCTAAAAGATCGGTGATGCGATTACTGTCCTGGACGTTTGCGCGGTCTCTGATTTCTCTCAGCAATGCAGCCAGCTGCTGACATTGCTGCGTAATCCTGGGGCTGTTAGCACTGGAATTATGTTAGGCAACAGAAAAAACACCCACGTTTTCAGTCGATCTTTCCGAGGCAGGATATACACGCATTGGCGGTTTGTGGTCGCACAATGCTTACATGTCGGCTTCTCGCCTGTACATTTGATCTTGTGGGAACGACACTAGACACGCAGACAGGCTGTCAGAAATCACATCAAATTAGACAGAGATGGGAGTTGGCAGGCGACAGTGGCTCCTGGCGATCGTCGAAAAGACCATGGTCATGCCACCCCACGATTGCACAGGAACATCTGTGTATGATTCAAACTCACCCCAGTACACGCCCGCGGCACTCGACGCCTATCCTGTGTTCCACTCTGTCCAGTTTCGACCCGTTGTAAGCGTGGAATAGCGACCTTATGTTGAGTGGACGAGCTCGGGCCGTATATGGCTTGGGGATCGTATTCCGGAGCGTTTGAGGCCATGGTTTTAAGGCAGCGCTATTTTGACCGAAGTTGAAGTAATCGCTTCAAAGGATGTACAGCTTGTCTATCTGACATGGGTTTAACGCTATACAGTAACAACGTATTGCCCAAGGACTCTGCATCGAGTCGGGCACGGTGGGACCTGGACCTATGGGGTTGGCGGCTCCAATTTTCGCGTACACTGTGCATCCAAACGTGGTTATTTGGGGCAAGGGGCCCTATCCGGATCCTAGGGCCGGCAGTCTCGGCCGTCGAGCTAATACTGTGTTTTCTCCATAAACTCGGGAATTTGGAACGGGACACTTGGCCGTGTCCAATGAGAGCGTCAAAAACAGCCTTCGACCCTGGTGATTCAGGTCTTGTCGTCAGGATAATAGTGGGCTGATTCTTCTGCTCTACGGATCACAAATACAAGTGGAAATCGCTCTCTGTGCAGAAAACCGTTCTTCCAAAAGCATGAAGAAGATTTGCGATCTTCCCTATTAGGGTTTCTACGATTTTCCTTAAAGCACGCTCTGCAAGGCTAAACAGACAAACAGAATCACGCGAACAACTCGTTTCTAGGCATAAGCAAGGCCAAATGGCAGGCGGTGTCAGAAGAAGTGCCGATGGCGACAAGAGCGGGGATAACGAGAGATTTTGTGGGAATACACACATGTACAACTTCATCGTGAGCGCCTTACCTTCCCTCGTCCCGCATCATCCATTCCGCGGCGAAAACACGTACATACACACGTACACACATACATTCCACATATGGGACAACGGCGATTTCTGAGCTGCATGGGGCAATTGGGCATCCCTTGCGCAAGTTGGCCTCACAGTTGCATGGGTTTTGACTTGTGTCTCCGACCCTGATACCCTGTTGCACAATATGCGTTACCAGGCTCAATGACTCGACCGTTAGCGGCAGCACTGTGTGTGCTCCAGGGATGGACTAGTTCAACCCCATTGAGAACACTCGGATTTCCAACACCTTACAAGTAAATCGATGCGAGAAAGAGAGTATTCCATGTCCCTGGGGTCCAGGGTGAGAGCTGCACTTGCTCATCTGACTTGGACTGCCAATATCCTTTGCTCACATTGGACCCAGTGGCGGTGGTAAGGTCCGCTACGACATTAGCTTCATGTGGAGAGGAGGATACCATCTTCTTATTCCAGAAGAAAAAACACCATCTCCGGTTCAAACACCAACGTACGAATCGACGGTCATCGTGCTCAAGCTTTCCCAAGTAGATGAATCGGCCGATTGTATGTCCTTTTATGTACAGATGCTAGGGCCACATGGACAGTGCACAGTATAGCGGTAGCTATGCTACTGTACGGTAGGTGTACCTATGTTGATGAGAATATTATTGATCCTTCACTTCAACACAGCTGAGCTTTTCGGATTCGTAAATCACAGAATAGCCTCGGAAGTCAAAGTTAATAGGCGATGTTGAGTCGCGATGATTGGCTCCCATGTTGGCGCGGACCAATGGCAAAATATACCGCGTTTATGCGCCAACGAGCAAAGATGATCGATCAGCTTTGCTTGCCTGATCGTCTCGCGTGTTCCGCCGAGCCATCGAACGTATGTACATACATACATAAGTAGCAATTCAATCCGGCTTACTGATAGTATAGGGCGCCACATGCTTGGAATCGCTTCGGAGAAAGACGAAGGTTCTAGTAGTGCTCACATTGAGAGAGCATGTACTTGGACACGGGCATCCGATACCACCAATCAGCTTCATCCTTTTCGCCTATCTAACCCCCTTGGTGCTGATGCGCCCGCCAGCATCCGTACATATATGAGCTGATGCTATGCAAGAGTGGCAAGAGGTCTATTCGACCCCAAGCACGCATCGCATGTCTCCACACACCCCGACGCGATCCCATCGCGATTGCGTACATATCGGTTTCTTGCTTTTTGTGGATACCTCTCCACAGCTGGTCGCTCTGCCATACGTAGATGGTTTATTAAGCGACACCATGCGCCTCGTGGCTGGCCCTTCTGCTTCTGCACCCACCGTGCTAGTGGCCAAGGTACATACACTTCTGATGCCCCAGTGCACGTACGTCCATACATGCATAGATACATGCATCTTCCTCGCACATCATTCCCATAAAGGACACCTGTTCATCTCCGCGCGGGCTTCAGGCTCACATGGACAGACTCTCAGGGACACGGCCTTCCGGTGCGCACCGAGCTATCATGTGCTCGACGCATCAAGGAAACTATGTACATAGTTGTGTGCTTGGTACGTGTGCCATATTAATCTGGGTTTGAGCGAGTTGACACATACATCGGAAGCCCAATTGGTGGCGCTTGCTTGGTCAGACGTGACTCAAGACATCTGACTCGAGCAGAGAGATACCAGCCGATCCGCTGGCACTGTGTTCTCGAACTTTTTGCGCCCAAGATATTGCGAAATACATGCAAAGAGTCGGATACTATAACATCGATCAGTGGAGCCGTTGGTGAGTAATCCTTCGCGCCTTGGCTTTGCTGCATTACCACAAGACAATGTCCCAGACTTCGACCTAGCACAGCCACATACCCACTTTTTCGTTGATCCCCTCTTCCACCTTCCTTCACCGGGTCACCGTATACCGTACATGGAGAAACAAGCGCTCGCTTATGTACTCGATAGTACACCAAGAGATGTATATCGAAAGAACCACAGTGGCAACGGACAAGAGTGGAGCGCCAAGTATTGCATATCGGACAACAGTCGCTAACGCCATTCGGTCTATCCAGAGCCCCATTCCACTGGCTGAAGCTTCAGCCTCATCCCATTTACCGGCTTACTCGTAATCGTCCCACCTGCAACAACTTTTTTCCAGCGGGCCCGCCAACTCCATCACAAAGCTACCCACCAACACCGCCACGAGTGCCCGCAGCCCAGCTCTCGCAAACCTCTCACCAATACAACTTCTTGGGTCCGTGCGAAAATGTCAGAAAACTATAGTTGCTCTCTGCTCCACCCCTCATGGTCGGGCGTCCAGTTTCCTTGTGGATCCAACGTTCAGGCACAAATTCCTGGCATCTGTGCCCCACATTGTGGAGTGGCGATTTATCGCCTACGGAACAATATGAATTGTGGTTCCAACCGGGATATGATGCCCTTCAACCGTTGTGTCGCGGATAGCGACGCGCATGATTATAGGAATCGTGGGGAAGAGTCGAAGCACTTCGTTACACACGCAATTGAGGTAGAGCATGCTTTCCAAGAGGCCGGCGACGTCAAAGGCTGAGCTTAAGAGCACCTCTGGATCTGGTATGTATTTATAGATTTCTAACCGCAGATGGCTTTGAATGCCTGGATGTTGGGATAGGAGATACGACGCTCATGTCAAGGTGGATGAAGTGGTTTTATGACTATGGCTGTAAGCTGTTGCCCGAAAGAAAAGGCTCATGGCATGACTTACCCAGCCGCTAAGGTCGTAAGAAGGCGATCCACGATTCTCGTCCGGGAATTCATTACTTCTGGTTATACACGACAGAATATCTCGGCTTCCCTGGCTGCCTGCGCTCTAGAGCTTCATTTTGGCCTTTTTTTTAGCCACAAAATCGCCACATATCTTTCGCAAGCGGATCATCCCGAACTTTAACCCATTGTTAAGCCCCCACGGCAGCTGTTCAACCATCCAGGGCGACAAGAAAATATGGGAAAGGAAGTAGAGCACTTTTTCTTTCGTCGGTTCGAAAATCTGCTGGTAGATATTGACCAACTCATCATCGCTATGCTGTAAAGAATCAATGCCGCGACCCAGGCCCCCTAGGCCTATCATGTCCATGGTACCTTGGGTAGAATAGTGCCCCATCTCTAGTATTCGATCCGGCCGCTCACCCAGATCCTTATTATATGACGAAACTCAGTCGATTTTGCCCAAAACATGGGATACAGATCTCTGATGTTCCGGAAATGGAAGGCTGATGTAATGCTTTTACGCATTTGTCTATGCTCTTCGCCGTCAGGCGTAACTAGGCTCTTCCCGATGATCTTCTTCATAATTGTTTTCCTAAATGGTGGCTTCCCAAAACTGTAGCTTTTGTGTACAAAAACGTCTGCCAGCGCTTCCGTCGACGTTGGCATCAGCGTTGTTGTATGGAAGATGCCTCGGAATACGACAAGGCCATCGTTGGGTATATCCTTCATGGTACCGAGAAACGATTCCCAGGGGGCTTGACGCAGCCACATCCAACTATGGCCGATGATTGGAATGAAACCTTTCGCCTGCGGCAGACTAGAAAGAAAGGATACAAAACGGGGTTGTAGAAAACCAATATGCTATTGTTGAGCAGCGTGAAGAAGACGACATGCCTCATAAGAGCATAGACGTTGTTATCATTGCTGCTGCTGCCTCGAAAAAAGATACGGGAATAGCTTGAGTGTGGCCATTGCCTCCAGGATAGGGTACAAGACGCAGTTTGCAAGGTTGAAGTGCATCTTGGCGCAGTCATCAGGCGACATGTCCTCTCACAGGTAAACGATTAATCCCAAATCGCTTTCTTCAGACGCGCGCACCAATCCAAGTATATCTATCTGAATTCTACACCTTTATTTCTGCGTACACAGGCCAACATATCCGTCAAGTTAGGATCCAACATGTGCGTACGAAATAAGCAAAGGCTATTGAGCAGCTTAGCCAGAAGTAATAGGCTCCCCCCTGTGATGTTGGGAAAGCGAGATTCTCTAGTTCGATAGCTAAAGTTAAACCGCCTCCGTATAGCTTGTATAAGCAAGAAACCAAGATTACACCTGAGCGGATGCGGAAACCGTTGCAGATCATGTTTTGAGCAATTGCACCAGGTGCATCATACACATAGTTGCCACCATCGCGGCTCGAGTTGCGATCAACACGGCGAATAGAGGGTAGCAGGGGATCGATTGGCTCGCATACCGTTGCGTGTTTCGTTAGCCGTGGTAGTCAATGCTGATCAGGCACGAGATTGCCGAGATTGATATCAGCTGCGTGTCTGAAACCTAATCCTCTCGTTTTCTCGCAAAGTTGGCCCAATGAGAGGTATCCAGTCACGCCATTCGTAATCGTTTTTGCAAACCTCTAGATTAGGCTCGAATCGAAATGCTGTAGTATGTAGTTTCTCGCCTTGGCTTCGTATTCCAAGTCTCAAAAATCCAATTAAAGAATCTTATTATGAGATCGACTCATTCGTCTAAATTACCGAAGATCATTTCCTGCATAAATGGATCTGGATTTCTGCTCGATACCGCTATCGAATATGCAAGCCCGGGTGTCTAGTAAATCGAAGCTTTGATCAATGAACCCGACCAGACAATGTCAGTGAGAGAAAAAAAAAAAGGTAAACACGACGCACTTGCCATCGGAGAAACAACAAAAGAAACAGACACAACCAAAAAAAGTGGCTCAAAAGTAAATATCAAACCATCGTCCCGTATCTGTCCAAGGAAAAAAAACACCCCCCCACGTCTACTCCACGCTTTCTTCCCTCCCTCAAATCCCCCCTTTTCCACATCAACTCCACCCTCTCCTCCTCACCCACCATGACCTCACCCATCCCCCTCTCATTCCCCCTCACCCCCACCCCCGCACACTCGAGCGCAAATCCCGCCACAACCCGCTCCGCCTCGCGTGCGCACCCCGTCAACGCATGATCATCTCCCTCAAAAAGCCTCAACTCCCTTTCCCCCCCCCCCCCGTGCCATACATCTCATACAAGCTCTCCGAGCACCCATGACTCAGCGTGTAATCTCCCGTACCATGTAGCAACAACAAAGGGCGCGGAGCGAGCAATGCTACACCATCTGCCTCGGCAGTCTGCGGCGCGATACCCACGCAGCCCACGACGCGCGCATCGCGACTTGCGACTGTGAACACGGGTGTGCTGCCGAAGGACCAGCCGACCAGCACGAAAGAGGATATATACGATATGTATCTTGGAGTTTGCGCATCGCGGCGAGGACGTCGCGGACGCAGTGCGGTGTGCGTGCTGGGAAGCGGTAGTCGAGGCGGGAGCGCGGCCATGGGATGTGGGAGGGAGGCTAGTTTCTCGGATAGAGACAGGTACATGGAATGAGGGCCTGACGACGACGACGACGCCGGTGGTGGTGGCGGGTGTGGGCAAGGTGGAGGGTGGGAGGTGCAAGAAGCCGGGGACACTGCCGTTGGGTTCTGACGAGACTTTTATGGAAAGCGGGCTTGACGATGGAGGATGTGGCGTGCGCGTTTGGGGCGTGGGAGAGGGAGAGGTAGTCGTCTAGACGGGCGGGTTTCCAGGAAGGGAGAGGGGGGGGGGGTGATGAGGATGATAGGGGGAGGTCTTGGGTGGTGATGCCATAGCTGGTCGGGTCAAAATGTCAATGTGGCTTAGGAATCTTTTTCATGAGATCCAAAAAAAACACAATGGAAGAACGAATCTTTCTCGAGATTGGGCTTGATGATTTACACTTGTTCTTTGATTGAATACAAGACTTATGTTTCACCACTTTGCTCGTTACACCAATTTGCCTCCCCCTCCCCCCCAAGGAATCATACTTTGCGTTGTGTGACATCACCTTTTTTTGGAAGCTTCTGCAGACACTGGAGTATATGCTGAGCTTCTTGCCGTCAGTGAATATGATTTCCTCTACCCTCCCAAAAAAAACACTTGGACAATAAGTCTTAATGAAACAACGTGATATCCAAAGGGACACTCAGTCGCTTGATGGCAAATGCAATAGATGGTATCGAATTTCATACATGATCAAGACGAACAACGAGATTAATTGACCCAAGAAAAAATTCCTTAGTAGCCCAAATCCATTTTGTTTTGTTAGCTCTGTTCAACTGTCCACTTTGGCCCGCTCCATTTCCCACTCGGTGCCTTTCCTCTGAACCCACCTCCACCTCCACCTCTACCCCGCGGAGACTTCGTCTTTTCAATCCTGCCCTTTGCTCCCCCTCTACCCTCTCCACCGCTGACATTGCCTCCCCTCGATCTCTCCTGGCCCAATGCTCGCCTCTGATTCTTTTGCCCAGCACCTCCACTCTTCGCACCGCCTCTACCCATGCCTGAGCCAGACTTTGCTTTGCGAATTTCTTGCCAGTCTGCCTCGGCGCCATCGTCGTCCATGTCCATTTCGTCATCTTCATGAGTGCGCTTGTTGCTGAACTTGAGACGTCCCTTCTGGCCGGTTTGAGCGGCATCGCGTCCTCGGATGGCGTCAACATAGGCGTTGATACCCGCTTCCAACGATGTGTTTTGGTCATCGATATCCATGAGAGCATCCTCGTCATCGGCAGCTTGCTTCTTTGATTTTTTGTCCTTGACCTCTGTCTCGTCGTCTGATTCGCCAAGGATGAGTTTGCCGTCTTCGTTCGTGCGCGCCTTGATCTTCGTTGGCTGCTTGCGTTGACGCAGAGGCTTTGTTGAGGATATGTTTCCGAGAGCGCGCTTGGACAGCAGATCGAGAGGCTCGTCCTCATCTTCGATGATGTAGGTGTTGCCGCCCTTTGCGCCGCCGCGCTGTTGTTTGCTTTGGCTCTTGACAAATTCGTCCTCTGAGTCACCCTCGCTTTCGTCGCTCTCGCTGCCGTATACAGCTTGGTCGTACTCGCTCTCAAACTTGCCCTTTCGCTTCTCAGTTGGCTCTTCGCCATCCTCCGCGGCCTGCTGTTTCTTTTTCTTGCGCTGCTCGCGTGTCTTACGGATGTTGGTAATTAGCTTGCGATCCTCCATAGGAGTGGCGCGCTCAACTTCCTCGACACCGAACTTGCGAACCATGCGCTCCACGATATGCTTGACCTTGGCCTTGAAGTGAGCCTTGTGCTCGTGGCTCCAAACCATCAGATTTTTGAGAAGGGTGTTGAGGCGCGGGCGGACGAGCGACTCGGGCAATGATATAACCTCGACTTTGACAAAGCCAAGTACACTGCGGACAATTTCGCGATTGGGGTTCTGGAGGAATATGTCCATGAGATCGCAGAGATTTGTGATTGTTTCCTTGGATATCTGGTCATGGAATTGGTAAAGTATACGGGTGACGGCTGTGATGGATGCAGAAATCATGTGTGGGGTCGTAGCGGCCAGACCAGCTGACACCATTGTGAAGTACTCCTCGAGCGATGCCTCTACTGTGGGGGCATCGGCAGGCATATTGGGTACCTTGGATTGCACAACCTGACCGCCCTGAGCCATCTTCTCGCCCATTGCGACAAGCAGGTTGTAGGCAGCCTCTCGAGCTTTCTCGTTGGTCTCCTTAGCCGAAATGACGACCTCAGAGAGGATAGAAGGGATGAAGTGAAGATCGCTCTCGGGCAAAGACTCAAGAACCTGGAATAGCGCATTGAGTCGGTCTCTTCGTGCGGGAGCTGATGCCTTTTCTGCACTTCCGAGAAGCAGCTGCTGTAGCTCTGCGTTGCGCTCTCTCAAAGCTGCTCGACCCATCTCAGATTCTGCAAGCCGAGGAATAAGCTTGTATGCCTTCTTCTGCAGTTGCGGCTCATTCTCCCGATTGATCATAATCTCGGCCATACGGAAAAGCGAGCGATAGCTATCACGTGGGAGGTACAAGGCGATTGTGATGATTAGATCCATGAGGGTGTGGCTCATGGGTGGCATCTTGTTGGGGCCTATTTCCTGCTTTTGTTTGGCTGCTTGAGTCTGCGAGCCAGGTTCAGGTAGTGAGGCCTCAAGATTGGTCGCAACTCGCTCAAAAGTTTCCATGAGCTCTCTCTCGGGCACAATGCTCAGATACGCGTTGATAGTCCTAAGGATAGTGCCGCGGTACTGCGGCAGAGTCTGGCTGTATACGTTAAATAGGACTGCAAGCATGTTGCTTGCAAAGTTGGCGAGATGGTCCAGATTCTTCTGTGCATCAGCTTTAGAGATACGGGCCTGCGCAAGCAGGTCGTCTTCGGACTCCAGTTCCACAATGGCCTTGTTGCTGTCTACCAGATTCTGTAGAGCTCTGCAGATGTCCGTTCGTAGATCAGCTTGACCATAAAGAAGATTTGCCAGCATCTCACAAAAGGTCTGATCGAAAGCCTCGACCAGATCCAATGGCAAGTCGCAATAGCCGGGCAAGATTGACCAGATTTGTTGTACTACTGTTTCGAAAACCTTGATCTCCATTGTCTTATCCTTCTCGCCATGATCTATGACCTTTTGGTAGAGCTCTTCGCTCAACGGAACCAT